TGTGCACGTTTCTGCGCAGCCGCTGCTAATGAACCATGCTGGTGTTATTGCTATTTCTTTCTTTGTTATTGTATATGATCTATGTTTTATGTTTATTTCGTTGTTTAATTAATAATTTAGATTGAGTGAATATTATTAAATTAATTATTTTTATTTTTGTTGGCACTTTATTTTGGTAAAAGACACATTTTTGTCTCTCTATAAATAGTGAGTTGTATGATGTGAATAAAGGTTTTTTGTTGCTGACCCCTCCCTAGAAAAGCATTATAAATTGGGGTTTGTAACACTTATTTGAAATGAGAAATAGTTATTTTTTTACCATATTTAGTCTTTCAAAACAAGGCATACAATATGCAGTCTTTGGACAAACTGCATCCCAGAAACCAATATGTCGTCACTGTATAATCATCTGACATTAGACATTGATACAAACATTACAATCATGACTTTCAACATTATTACAGTGCACTTTGAGCATTCATAAGCAATATTTGTTAAGCTAATAGTTTGCTAAGGCAACCTGTGAAATGTGACTTATCAAGCGGATAATTCAACAACAAACTCTTGTTCCATTCATATACACCAAAATTACCTTCATTTCCCTTATGGAGGCCTCAGTGTCAGCCGAAATAGAGGTATCACAGCTCCCTCTTCTGGATAAGCCTCCGCCCAGAGAGGCTAGAGTTGCAGCAGAGAGGGTGGAGGCTGTTCTGGACCCCTGTGAATGTAGTTTAAATATTTACTCTATCACATGCGTTGTAGTTTTACTTATTATGATGCTTGTCTTTGCATTCATTTAACATCTAAAAAAATGATTTAAAAAAATGCTAAAATCTAAAAAATGCACTACATAAATACACATTACATTGCATTACATGAAAAAAAGATCCCACTTACCTTTTCCAAAAAGTCTGACCTTTCTTCCACCTGTGTAAAAATAAAAATAAAATGTGTTTAAGCAGGGCTACACTTTAAAAAAACAATGCAAATGTACATAAAATTTGCTCAGAATTTATTTAACAATATTAGATAACAGCAATGACTAGAGATCTGTTCCATGCTTTATCCAGCAGAGGGAGCAAGACACAAATAGGATTAATAGTGATAGAGAATGTTTGAGAAACAGGATATGGAGAAGGAAAGACAAAGGGTCATTTTTTTTTTATCATTATTATTTTTTGTTATGGATGTTGTAGAGAAGGCAGACTTGACCTTGAAACGGCAGAATTAAAGCCTTGGCAGTGATAGAAAATGGAAGCTCACCACTGGGCTGGCACGGGCTGAACTTGCCCTAGATGAGGCCCTGGAACTGGAGCCCAGAAAGCCATTGTAGTCTGAAGGCTGACCAGAAAAGCAGGTAAAGAGAATGACAAAAGCACAAAAAGAAAGGCAGAAAGTGTTAGAAGTAAAGAGAGTTAGTTTTGAGCATTGGAGGAAAAATATAGGAATGTTTTAGAAATGAGAGCACCATATACACTACCGTTCAAAAGGTTGTGGTTAGTAAGATGCTTTTGAAAGAGTAATTTTATGCTCATCAAGGTTTATTTAATTAAAATCCAGAAAATGTTGTCATATTTTAAAATAATGAAAATGGTAATTGATTAAAAAATGTAACTTTAAAGCTATGAATGTTTACCTTAACAGAAACTATATGTAGGTCATAATAATTAATGGGTGATTTGTTTCTAATCATTCATGGTTTCTAATTGTATTGTAGGACATTGAACTCTCCTCTGTAAAACATAACTAAATCTGGGTGGGTCAGGTAAACTGCAGCAGAAAAAACAGCTAATGAAATGCCATTTCATGGCATCTGTTATTTTACAGACTTAATCAGTAGATGGTGTTCCTGTAATTTCAACAATATTTAATACTTAATTGTATTTCATGCAATTCAAAAGAAAAAAATGAACTAAAGTTAAACTTTAAAGATTTTTCGAAGATTTTTCAAGTGATGTTTAACAGAGGAAGGAGAATTTCACAGTATTTCCTGTATTCCTTTGTAAGATATATTTTTTTCTATTTTTCTTCTTGTTTCTTAACTTTGGCTGGAATACAGTTAAATAATATTAGCCTCATACATTTCTTTTTCTTCGATGGGCTGGAGAACAAACCAATGTTGTCCACATGACTTGCCCAATGACTGTAAATAACTTAAATAATCTAGTTAAGCCTTTGATTCGGACTATACGTTTAACTATAAATATCAAATAATTAGAAAAAATTTATATAATACAATAAATTATGCACTGTTTTAATATGTAAGATTATTAGATTATAATTTTTTTTATTAGAAATTAGTTATTAAAACTATTATGTTTAAAAATGTGTTGAAAAAGTAACAACTTCCCATAAGGGCTAATAATTTGTTGTTGTTGTTGTATTTTTCAGGTGAACTATTCCTTGAAAAGAACATACATAGTGTAACTTGAAATATTAATTAAATCAAATATAAATTAGATTTTCTCAAAAAAAAAAATACAAATCTTTTGTACAGTAGTGCAAAACCAAGTCTAAGTGATGGTAAAACAAACACTGACACACATCAGTTTCTGTGCAAAAGAGAGTCAGACATCTGACTAGTGAACAATCAAACTTCAACCAGACAAACACAGAAAGGAAATTCATCCAAGCTGATGAACCATCAAATGCATGCCTTACATACATAATCCCACTCTGATTACTGCCATGCAGGCACCGGAACGCAATACTGGGAAAAAACAGTAGATTAACCTCAGAGAAAACCTCAAGAAATAAACAAAGACACAAAGAACACCTAGTCAAGCCCGTGGTCTTTTAACAGACCCATGCAAGATGCTTAACAATCCCAGACTGGTATTGTGTATCAGGTCATGCCCCTGTCAGAGGAAGAGGTAAAGATCGGGCCTTACGCCTCTAGCGCTGGAGCCACTGAAACGCCTAGTGGCAGAGTATGAGCTCTCTTCATGCAGAGACCCCTGCAGACAGAACAAAACACCTCACCATACACCCTATATTCACCTTACACACTTCACATCTGGCAGACAAAACCAACTGTTTAAAAGAACACTACACTTTTTTTGGAAATATGTTCATTTTACAAGTCACATTTTTTAATTCATACATCCGATCTTGGGATCGCGGGAGCCCTTTTAGCTTAGCTTAGCATAAATCATTGAATCAGGTTTAACCATTAGCATGTTGCTCAATTTTTAAAAAAATATTTCCTGCTGCAACTCATCACTAATAAACATCCATACCCACTCATTCTCACACATACATTACGGACAATTTAGCTAACCCAATTCACCAGTACCACGTCTTTGGACTTGTGAGGGAAACCAGAGCACCCAAAGGAAACTCACGTGAGGACGAGAAGAGCATACAAACTCCAACCAGAAATGCCAACTGAACCAGCTCATAGACAGTTTAGCTGATCGACATGACTTTGAAACTCTCCATTGTCTGTGTATCTGTGTTTACACTTGGTGAACAAATTGGTGAGCCTTCACAGCCAATCACAGTCATTTCTGTTGAGCATATGAACACAATGGCCAATCTAGAAGTTGTTTAAGAACTCGTTCAACAGCATTCAAATGCAAGTGGGAAATGGCCATTTTTTAAAATTCTAGTACTGACTGGTCTTGAACTCGATGTACCTTAGACAAATAAAATTTTTAAAAAATGACTGAAATGCCGTTATTTCGAACAAAATCTTGTCAAAAGATTGGCAGTGCGAAACAGCTCAGCAAACGAGCTATTTGGGGGAACTAACTTCCTAAACACTACCATTGGTCTATGACAATTTTGCAATTGATGGATGTGTTCTGGAACTACACCTTTTCTTTGACGTTCATAGTATTCTAGCAGTTAGCAGCATAAATACACAGAATGGACGAGTGGTAGAGCTGGTACAGATGCATTAGCACCTGTACGATTGCTTGCAAAAAGTCTTGAATCGAAAATGCTGGGGTGTCCGAAGATTCGGAAAAAGTTTTTCACCATTCTGCCTTTTCAAACTTCTTCATTCATTTATTCCTTTTACTTTGGCTTAGTCTCTGATTTATCAGAGGTCGCCCCAGTGGAATGAACTGTCAACTATTCCAGCATATGTTTTACGCAGCGAATGCGCTTCCAGCGGCAACCCAGTACTGGGAAACACCCATACACTCTCACATTTACACACACTCATACACTACAGCTAATTTATTCAATCTAAATTCACCTATATCTCATGTCTTTGCATTGTGGGGGAAACCAGAGTATCCAGAGGAAATCCACAGGGAGAACATGCAAACTCCACACAGAAATGTCAACTGGCCCAGCCGGGACTCGAACCAGCGATCTTCTTGCTTTAAGGCAACACTGCTAACCACTGCTAGCCACCATGCAGCCTTCAAACTTCTTTTTCCCATCAAACAAATAAAGAAAAATACCTTTGTTTGAAATATACCAAGCATGCCCTAATAATCAATTAACTTTGCTTTTGTACCATGGCTGCAACAGGCACAATAATATTATTCAGCACCTAAAAACTGTCCCCAGCTAAGTAACAGCTGTAGGTTACATCGCTACGAAATAGCATTGCATGAGATGCTAATGGTCTAATTTGATTCAGGTATTTACAGTATGCTAAGCTAAGCTAAAAGTGCTCCTGTGAGATCTGGATATCAGCTGAATGGATTCCGAAACGATAAAACTAATTCTAGGGGAGTCGTAAAATGAGTCTATTTATGAAAAAGTGGAGCGTTTCTTTAAAGAGAAAATAAACAATCTGAAATGACTACTTTACGCATCCAAAATGGTTCGCCATCATGAAATGTGATCAACAGGGCTGCTAACAACCAGGGGAGATGTACTGTACTTATAAACACATCATGGGCAGGAAATGCTCATTACATACAGAGGAGATTTAAGGGAAACTTCCTTGCGTGTTAACACTGACCTTAATGCACTCTGATGTACTGTGAGCACTTATGGAATGACGGATTGAAATTAAGAATTGATTACTGAGTGGAGGCTATGGACGCCAAAGACTTGTCAACACATGTGTAGCCAAAGACATTCTGAGTATCGGGTTACTAAATTGCATGCAGGTTTCTGCTCACATAAACTATTGAACACACACAACACATGTCTGTAAATGAGACAGTTCACCCCACAATGAAAAATCTGTTATCATTTTAATGTCGTTAAATAATTGATTTACAATTCTGTGGCACGATAAACAGATGAACAGAGATATGTAGAAGAATGTCAAGGAAGCTATTCCCAAACATTGCTGTGAAGAAAAACTAATGTTAACGGCAATTATGTAAATGTTTTAAAATAAAAAAGTAAATAAAAAGTATTTTAGTGCATTAAGTTAATTTATGTAAATATAGCGTCAAATATAGTTGAAGTCAGAATTATTAGCCCACTTTGATTTTTTTTTTCTTTTTTAAATATTTCCCAAATGTTGTTTAACAGAGCAAGGAAATTTTCACAGTATGTTTGATAACATTTTTTCTTCAAGAGAAAGTCTTATTTGTTTTATTTCGGCTAGAATAAAAGCAGTTTTAAATTTTTTAAAAACCATTTTAAGGACAAAATTATTAGCCCCTTTAAGCTTTATTTTTTTTTTTTTTCGAGAGTCCACAGAACAAACCATCAGTATGCAATAACTTGCCTAATTAGTTAGCTTAATTAACCTAGTTAAGCCTTTAAATGTCACTTTAAGCTGTATAGAAGTGTCTTGAAAAATATCTAGTCAAATATTATTTACTGTTATCATGGCAAAGATAAAATAAATCAGTTAAATTAGTAAATTTATTAAGTTTAGAAATGTGTTGAAATAAATCTTCTGTCTGTTTAACAGAAATTGGGGGAAAAAATAAACAGGAGGGCTAATATTTCAGGGGGGCTAATAATTCTGACTTCAAGTGTGCATTAAAACTAGAGCTTATATTGGGCCCAAAAAATGAAACCCGGCCCTACCTGAGCCAGTGCACCTTGTGTCCGAGCCTGACCCGGTCCAACACATTAACTGTAATTACAGTATGAGCCTGATTTTAAACCCAACTATGTTTTTATACGTTTTTATTTCTTAACTACAATTCTGAGTTGTTTGAACTACAGAAATGAGTTCAGATTGATCTTAATGAAAAATGCAAAAAGTACGAAGCATGTAAACTGCAATGTTTGTTTCTTCAGAATGGATCATAACAAAAGGGGATATTGAAGGCTGACTATCATCCTTTCTGCCATGGCAAGCCTGCTTCATGTGTCTGTTCATCGAGGAAGTCCCCGCTTTTTTTGCTGTCACCTCTTTCAAACCGTACGTGCGAGCTGAGTGTGAGCAGTGCATGTATTTCGGCGTACATGTTTACATATAAGAACTGTCATATCGCATGCAGAAGCAGTGCATCAGTGCGGAGCATGAACAGACACAATATGTGACCCTGGATCATAACAAAATAGATATTAAATAAAATCTAAATAAATAATATAACTAACTAACTAAATTAATTAACTAAGATGTAAAAATCACCTGAACACTGTAAAAATATATAGTTTTTTTGGTTTTATTTATTTTTTTACAAAACTTACCCTTTTTAAAAGTGTACTTAAGTGTTGTATGGACAAGATGGCTTGAACATTCTACTACAGTTCCACTGTTTTTGTATCCCACACAAAACCCTTCAGTGACAGCAGAAATTTCATTTTAGGGTGAACTATATGTCAATTATACTGTATGCTATGAAATCACAACAACAAAACAGTGAACAAACAATCTGCACGTCAGGTAGCATGCAGATTACAGCTGGAAACAAACCCTGTGACTTCTTGAGCGAGGGGTTTCAATAAATAGTGCAGAAGGCTAAAAAGAGAGAGGAGGAAGAAATGTATATTCTCATAACATTGAATGTAAATACTACATGTTCTTCATGTTGAGTAAATCAGACCTTTAAAATATATATATAAAAATAATTACATTTCTATCTTTAATTTGCACCACCATAAAACAGCTCATTTAAAAAAGAAGTTTGCATCAACTCTGAATTTTCCATTCCTTTAAAAACCAAATAAGTAAGCTTCCAGACGAATCTCTGGGAATTTCATGTGTGCTAATTATAAATTGTCTCAAAATAATCCTTAAAACGCAAACAATGTTGTAATAAGGGCAGTGCAATCTGATGAAATAAATCAAATGGATAAAATAATAAGAAATCTATTGTTTATTATTCTCTATTGGTCATTATTTAGAGTATGGTAATGCTTTTTCAGTATTTGGATTACGTTCATTACTAGCCAGTCAGAAGTGTGAATTGTAGCATTGGGAAAAAATACATGATCGAAAGAACAATGTTTAGTTTTCTTTTTTGTTTAGCAATATTATATATATATATATATATATATATATATATATATATATATATTTAATATAAATATTTATACATTAATTACCAAACATTGGACCTTATATTTCTAAATAAAGTGTGAAAAATAATCACTTTTTTGAGTACATACTAGAGAAATATTCCTGTCCATTGTGGTTAGTATTTAAAAATGCTAATCCAAATGCTATGCTAATCAACTACTTTTCTAAATAAGGTACTATATTGTGAAATCTATGGTTGTCAGGAAATTAGACGACATGGACGTCAGGATTTTGCCAAGTACAATGCGATCTTGGGTTAACATCTACAGTATATTGATCCTGGAACATCATTTTTGTTCGAAAATGTAAAAGTACATAAACCAAACCGTAAGCCTAAACTTAATATCAACTAAATGTATCCCTTAATTCTGATTGGCTGATTAGAATGTTGTTCAAGAACCAACATGGCTCATCCAGGAACATGTCCTACTTGGTAAAATCAGATTGGCGCATCATGATTGGATATTTTCGTCATATCGCCCAGCCCTAGTTGTAATCAAATCAGTCTACATCATTGTTTTTTTTAGTAATTTTTTAGTTAGTAATGTTAATTTCAACTTAAAGAATGCGACTTCTACCGATTCTTCTGGAACCCAGTGGTGGTGGTCTATTGACAGTTCACTGTTACAAAATGCTGGGACCCACACAATTCATTCCTGTAGTCCCAAAACAAATCGATTTAGCTAACTTAAGGAATTTAAGCGGATTGAACATTAAACAATTAAGTTGCCCCCAAAAAATCTCAAGAATTATGTTGTTTCAGCTCAAGCAGCTTGAATAAGCAGCAAAAATAACTCTTTGAGTGTTGTTTGAAAATAAGTGTGCCTATGAGATGACTGAGGGAAAGAGAAAAGCTAGAAAAGCAAAATGAAGAAAAGCTATAAGCTAAAACAATGAAGGGGAGAAGAAACTCTAATGGGAGAAAAAAAGAAGCATTGTTAAGGATTGTAAGAGGGACAGACCCGTCCATTTTGTAGTCTGGCTGAAGTCAGACTGCTGGTGCTGCTGCAGAGATCTGCGTGGTTGCCCTACGGTAAGCAGAAGAGGACAAAAGACAATGTGAAAATAAGGGGTGGGAGGCTGAGGTGACATGTTGTAGGAAAAGTATGATTCAGCAAGAGTTTGAATGAATGAAAGAGGGAGCTAGCAGTGACAGGACTCTGTGCAATTGATAGCCACACCGTCATTTTCCTTGATCAGTAGTAAGGGACATTACTGGAACCTAATATAATAAATGTTCATCAAATTGAAATTATTATGTTGAGCTTCAGTGTTTAGAGCAAAAACACACTTTGATTATGCCTGGCAAGTCAAATACTATATAATAATAAAAGGTAACCTCTTTTTTAAAAAGGTTACTAATCTAAATAAATAAAGATCACAGTCCAAACATTAGTACAACCAAATTAATATGTTGAGAGAAAATATTAAATAGATTTTTAATAAACAGGACAAATCATAAAAATGTATTACATTTTGTTGAAATATTGTGATTTTATTATTGCAAACTCATTTGAATTTAAAGGTATTATATTTCTATGTAAGGTGACCAAACATTCTTTTTATAATCATGACTGTTTAATAAAACTCAAACGTACACATTTTTTCACCAAAAAAGTATTGATTATATTTACTGAGAAATTGATAAATATATTAATTTTTAAAATGGGAGTTTAGTTATTTATGCAAATATAGTGTATGTCCAAGAAAATTATTCCTTTTTTTAACTTGTCAACTGCCCTGAAAACCGAAATCTAAAGTATTAGAAAGCAAATTCAGCAAATACAGCTTGACATTACTTTCATTCAAACGAAAGCTCTAAAGGAGGGGGTGTACTAACCCTCAAACTTCCTCGACTGCCTACAGACATCCGCTCTTCATCATCTGATATCTGAAACAGAAGAAAAAAGAAAAAGGGGAGATTAAAACAGCTTCAGGTAAATAAACAGCTTTCTGTTCATCTGCGAGTTTATGAGTTTTGATCAGCCTGATCTCACAAGGAAATGTAAGTATTTTACATTTTGTTAGTTTCGCTAATTGAATTTGTACAAGTTCAGTGGTACAAAAATTAGCTAATTTGAAAAGGAGGCGATGTCCAGATCCAATCACATGATCAGAAATCGGGCCCGATCACGTTATTTTGGATCGGATTCAGACCTTGGGTCTGTTCTTCGTACGTGGATTACTCAGTTAGCTGGATTTAGATATTGACAATTTGACATGATCCAGGATCGTTTCGTTCTTCAAAACTGATCCGAGAGTTGTTGTCATAGCAACAGTTCTGGTAGATCAAACCTGGTCGGGAGCAGGTTTATTTCATAAAAACAGGATTGGATCGGGTCAGTTCAAGCAAAGATAATACTGAAAGTATGTACTGAATTCTGATATTTTCTTACAGTAGTAGTTATATACACTTTGGAAAATATTAGTAAATAGTAAATATTTGTAACTATATATATATTAAGTATATTAATATTAATATTATATATTTAGTTAAAATATATGAAAAAACTTATGCAATCTGCACCCCCGAAATGAAAGTACAGACTGCCACCTGGTGGTGCAAAGTGAAAACTTATTGATATGAACTTTTTAGATCGCTTTAGTACAATTGTTCTAATACAAGTTATTCTTTACACCGATTTTAAAAAATGGCTACTATAAAACTACTATGGCTACTATAATAAGGAAAATCCACTCTTGACACATGAAAGGGCCAAGCATGCAGCCCACAACAAGGTGCAAAGTTATTGCGTGTCATATTTAACAAACCCTTTACTGCAAATTTGATGTAATTTTGCTCACATGGATAATTGAATATTAATCAGATGATGTCATTACGCTGCTTTGCCGTCAGCCAATCGTTGCATTGCTGATCATGATTTCGAGAATCGATAGATCTGTCCTTTACAACACACGCAGCGATCTCAGATCAGTTTATCCAGACATTTTAATCTGATTCACAAACTTGTTTGAAGAACCAAATTAGCCAGAGATCAGTTTTCAAGATGAACTGATCCAGGATCTGCCAAATCATCTTGAAGAACGGACCCCATGCCTCTCAATCAGAACACAAATATATATGGAAGCAGCTTGAAACGCATAGAACGAGCATGTCTGCAGTCTGGAGGTATTATAAAGTTGATGATGAAAACATTGCCATAGCAAACTGTGGGATACGTAAACTTGGGATTGCCTTCCGGCCGGGTATTTTAAGTTGAGGTGCTATTTGGTTTTATATTCGATTTTTTTTATATTTACTGTTGCACTAAAGTTCAAAAGTGAAAAAGTTGTTATTTATTACTTGATTGTTCAAGCTACCTCACAGAAGTGCTCTGTTTGTTAACAGTAATTATATGTTAAAATAAAATGTGAATTAAATAAAAAATAAGGAACATCCTGCTGTTTGTTCTCTCTTCTTTATTAGTTTTTTATGTATTATAGAAGTATCGGATTGGATTTCGATATCAGTAAATACTCCAAATCAAATGTCTCAGATTCTGACTCAAGGGCAAAAAAACCTGATCGGAACATCCCTACCCTAAACCCTACTGTCATTGGGGGATGAGCAAATCGTACTAAATTGCACAAATGAGATCTTATGATTTTATACGAATTCACCTTTATATCAAAAAGTTAAGGGTTGCTGTTAAATTGTGTTGGTTTTGATATATTTGTACCCTGAACTGAGTAATATTTAACTCTTTTAAGAACATCCTTATTTGTTGACATTGTATAACTTAATAATATTAGGGTTGTAGGTTAAGGTTAGGTCTTCAAGTAAAAACATTAGAGGTATATTGGTCTCTTTAAACAGCTACGTAAATATATATGTTTTCAGTTCAGGGCCTCCATAAGTTTTGTTTAAAGTCATTAAAATGTGGTGAAAGTAAAATCTGTCAAAAATATTGGCGCTTATGGAATTTAGTTTTCAAATTCTAAAAAAAAAATTAGTAAGTTGCTATATAAAAATGAGTAAGTAATTTTAATTTTTTACATCTAATGTCTCTGTAATGAACAGCACACTTTAGGAATTTAGCAAAGTTTAAATATTGGAAGGAAGGGATGGAGAAGAAGGAAAAGAGAAAGAATCAGAAAAACCCAAGTTATAATCATAAGCTGCTGATTTTCAACATATCAGGATAGATTCTGATTGCCTATTTTCCTTAGCTATTGAATTGAAAAAATGTTTGAAATACCATTGCATTGGTGTACTGTTAGTACATAAAATCCTAGCATTAAAGGCCATGGCATTTAAATTAAATATACGTTTGTATTGTATCTAACTTCAATGTTATGCACTTTGTGTAGATATTTAAAGATGGCCATATACTGAATGAAGTGACAACACTTTAAAATAAGATTCCACTTGTAACAAGGGCTTCCTGTGAACTGTCTTTCCATTACAAAATTGTCACGTTTAAGATCTGATTTCTTTTAAAATCAGTGATCCTTACTGCCTGTAAGATATACGAGATGAAGTAGGACAAGAAGCACTGCATTAAATTTAGTTTCCCCTTGCTATGTCTTTAAAACATGACAGTTTATTTTAACCCAGTATTTTCAATGGAATTTCTGCGGTGCTCATTTTATGCTTGAACAGCTAAATGAATGATTAAATCTATGTAACTGAATGTATTGTAACTACATTACAACATCAATGCTGTAAAAACAACTTTGTGAAATTGAAAATCCTCACATTAAGCTTTCACCGGAAGTTGTTGGCTATAAAACTCTAGCTGTGCATAGAACCCATTAAAACACATATGTAGAAGTGATGCTGATTGCTTTAAAAGTAACATTTTAGTATGGTGACCTAATGTCACATTTAGCTAACTGCTTATTAGATTGCATGTTGGTTTTTTTATTCATCTTTACTATGTGCATAGTACTGATTTAATCTTGCATGACTATATTCTGCTTCCCTTAATGCCATACCTAAAGAAAACCACTACAACAATGATCTGACTGGCAGTTAATAGACAGTAAATAATGACTTTATTCAATTTTATAAAGTTTTATTGTTACATTTTATTTTAACATTTACTATATATATATAGTATATATATATATATATATATATATATATATATATATATATATATATATATATATATATATATATATATACTATACACACTCACACACACACACACACACACACACACACACACACACACACACACACACACACACACACACACACACACACACACACACACACACACACACACACACACACACACACACAATTGAAACCAGAAGTTTACATACAAAGGGACATAATAGTTTTTAAAAAGTCAGATGTTAATGTGACTAAACTTTTTTTTCTTTTAGGTAAGATAGGATTATCAGGTTTGTTTTGTTGTGTTTAATAGCAGAATAATGAGAGATTTTTTTTTGAGAAATTATTATAATTTTTCTTGTAAGTCAAGTTTACATACAATGAGATTATTATGCCTCTGAAAAAGCTCAGATGATGGTGTCAAGGTTTTGGAAGTTTCTGATTGGCCAATTGACAACAATTGCATTAATTGGAGGCACAGCTGTAAAAGAGTATTTAAAGAAAACCTCAAACACACTGCTTCCTTTTGTGACAACATGGGAAAACCAATAAGCCAGAATAAACAAAAAGCCAGATTACAATTTGCTAAATTCCACTGGGAAAAAATAAAAAAAAAATTTGGAGACATGTCCTGTGGTCTGATGTAACTAAGATTGAACTGTTTGGTTATAATGACCAATTTTACATTTAAAGGGCAAATGAGAAAGCTTACAAGCCACACCATCCCAACTGTGAAGTATGGGGGCGACTGTATCATGTTGTGGGGCTGTTTTGCTGCAGGAGGGACTGGTCCTCTTCACAGTATAGATGGAACCATGGTAGAAAGAACATTATGGTGAAATACTGAAGCAACATCTCAAGACATCAGCCAGGATATTAAAACTTGGCCACAATTGGGTCTTCCAAACAGACCATGACTCTAGGCATACTGCCAAATTAGTTGAAATGTGCTTTAAAGACAACAGAGTGAATGTTTTGGAGTGGCCATTACAAATCCCTAATTTAAGTTCTATAGAAAATTTATGGGCAGAGTTGAAAAAGCTTGTGCGAACAAGTCAGCCAACAAATCTGACTCAGTTACACCAACTCTATCAGCAGGAATGGGTCAAAATCCCTTCAAACTATTGTGCAGATAGGTAGCTAAGTGGCAGGCAGGGGCGGGAACAGCTTACCTTGGTTCTGGCCGGCACGAGTTCCCACGACTTCCCGCCCGTCACAGCGTCTAACAAAGGGGCGGGGTGCGTGGTGACGTCACCGGCATCCCCGCCCCTTTGTTTACACGGCGGGCGGGGAATGCCAGTGACCGCTGTGTACGGATAGAATCAGCGGAGCGGGGAGCGCTCTCTCTCCCCGCTCCACTGATTTTGTCAGTGTACAGCGGTCGGCGCGGGCCACAAAATATTGCACTGAGGGCCGCAAATGGCCCGCGGGCTGCGAGTTTGAGACCCCTGGTCTAGATATTAATAAAATATTCTCAAAAAAATGCTCTCATTATTCTGGCATTTAGCAAATGTAAATCATTTGAGTAATCCTACATTTTAGGAACTATAATTCTTACAACCTAAAATAGTAGTTCATACTAAACATTTAGTATGACATATAGTAATAAACATTTAGTATGATTTACCATCAGACATTTTTTTTAAAAATCGTTATGTTCCTTTTTTTAGAGTGTATGCAAACTTCTATATATATATATATATATGTATATGTATATGTATATATATATATATATATATATATATATATATATATATATATATATATATACTAAGAACATGACATGAAGGATTACGGTATAATATACAGTCTATACTAGCATGTTTTTGTGGTTTATTTTTTTGTCTTTAACCCCCTCCTTCCTAAGAGCCTGCTCTACTCTGATTAGTCAAAAGGCCCTGTGTGCTGTGATTGGTCTAACGCTTAAAACTTGTCAGAAATGAAATGGCCATTACCATATCTGCCAGGATATTCATTCATTTATAGATTGTAAACAATGTACAAAGAAATAACTGCTTTGATTTTACAATATAATTAGAGGTACAATTTGATAATTAAACATTGGAAGGACTTGTTCATCCAACAGAAACTCTATTTAAAGTGTGCTTTAGCGGTTGTTTTAAACTAGCTTGAAGTGTATTAGGGCGTTAATAAAAAATATTAGGAGAATAAAAGCTTAAGACAAAAAAGCAGAGGCAGAGATACAGACCGAGGTATGTCTCCGAGTGTGGCGGGAATACCGCTCACTGTCCTCCTGAAAAGCAGAGCAGGAAAAACAGGACAGAAACCAGGAAGTTTTAGGTCAGAAAGTCACATGGTTATCAAACACCAGGAAAAAACTGAACAAAGCATGCACTGAGAGATTATGCTGTCTGTCATATCATGGTTTATTACAGGGCTTAGACAGGGTGTCTGGAGGGGTGGGAGGGGAGGGTTGAGAGCTTTAAGATGTGGGTCACGCGACCGCCCTATAATCCCGCTGTATGTTATGACCACCTCTGCTAAGCCCTAACATGTCAGATGGGCCTCCTGCCCCCCACTGCTCCAGTAAAGCCTGTGAAATGAGGATCAGACACAGACTACATGCAACATCAACCAATCACATTTCACTCTCTGAAGGATGCTTTAAAAACATGGTGGTAGTTACAATTAAGTGCCCCTATTACGCCATTTAAAAGGTTCATTGTTTTCTTTAGAAGGTCTCCTCTGATACATGCATGTTTACATGCATTGACAGTCAAAAAACATTAAATTTACCTTGATATTTATAATCACCTCACTTTTCATACACTCTCAAACAATTAATTTGATTAATCTTGTTTTTTAAGCCCTTTTTTTGCTAAGAGCCTGCTCTGCTTTCATTAGTCAAATGGCCCAGTTTGTTGTGGTTAGTCTAATAGTGAATGCTATGCAATATCTGCCAGGACATTCCCTCCCTCAGTAATTTTTCACTGTACAAAATATCTTTTACAGTTTCTGTATTTTGTGATTCGCATGTTTTCACATTATGTGCATTATGTGACCATGATATCTGCTCTGTCGACTTTTGATGTTAAAAATGTAACTTTACAATTTAACAAATTGACATTTTTGACATTTTAGTAGTTTGATATAATATAAAGTTTAAGAAATAATATATATGTATACAGTATATATATAGATATCTATAGATAGATAGATAGATAGATAGATAGATAGATAGATAGATAGATAGATAGATAGATAGATAGATAGATAGATAGATAGATAGATAGATAGATAGATAGATAGATAGATAGATAGATGATAGATAGATAGATAGATAGATAGATAGATAGATAGATAGATAGATAGATAGATAGATAGATAGATAGATAGATAGATAGATAGATAGATAGATAGATAGATAGATAGATAGATAGATAGATAGATCGAGTTTCAGAATGGGGAAGCAAGGTGATTAAGTTACTTTTAACAGAGCAATGCTGTTGGTGCCAGACGGTCTGGTCTGAGTATTTCAGAAACTGCTGATCTACTGAGATTTTCACACACAACCATCTCTAGGGTTTACAAAGAATGGTTCGAAAAGAGCAAATATCCAGTAAGCGGCAAATGCCTTGATGATGCAGGAGTCCGCATGGTGGTCAGATTTTGGCGTCAACAACATAAAGGCATGGATCCATCCTGCCTTGTATCAACGATTCAGGCTGGAGATTGTGGTGTAATGATGTCGGGGATAGTTTCTTGGCACACTTTGGGGTCGTTAGTACCAATTAAGCATTGTGTCAATGCCACAGCCTACCTGAGTATTGTTGCTGACCATGTCCATACCTTTATGACCACAGTGTACTCAACTTCTGATGGCTAAGCCCAGCAGAATAATGTGCCATGTCAGAAGCGTGAATCTCAAACTGGTGTCTTGAACATGACAATGAGTTCACTGCACTCAAATGGCCTCCACAGTCACCAGATCTCAATCCAATAGAGTACCTTTGGGATGTGGTGAAATGGGAGATTCTATCATGTCAATATGGACCAAAATCTTTCCAGCACCTTGTTGAATCTTTGCCACGAAGGATTAAGGCAGTTTTGAAGGCAAAAAGGGGTCCAACCAGGTACTAATGAGGTATACCTAATGATGTGGCCGGTAAATGTGTATGAGAAATAATAGAGAAATTTTGTTACTTTTCAGATAAAGTAATTCATTTTTAATGCTGTGATTAGCGATTGGCAATTTACTTCTTTTTCGAAGTAATACCCAACACCATTTGAAACTTTGCAGACCTTTTACATTTACAAACAGCTACATTACATTCAACATGAAGGGTAAGATAAAAAAAGGATAATAGGGGCACTTTAAGGTTTGATTTACTGCATTCGGGACCTGTGCTGCATGCATTTTCTAATGTAATTTCTATCTCTTGCGGTCTACTGCATGCGGCAGTGTGGTATAATGACAGGTCATACCATCCACTGTTCAATATGGCCCCATTTGCTGTCCAGCCCATAGTATTTCTGGTGCAGAGAGGAGGAGAGCAAGACGATCAAATGATGAAGGGTTATGGAAGTAAAGGAGGATATTAAAAACAGGTGTGAAAGAGAACTTGAGTTTAAATGTGGAATTGATCCTGGTTTTGGCTATATTTCTGTAACCTGATGTCCGTAAAATTGACAGCTGAACAGATGTAAAACAATGAAAAGTGCTATAGCTTGTATTTCTAATGATCAAATATGATTATGTCAGGGAGAAATGAAGGGTATGAAGAAACAGATCTTACCTTTTGCGCGTGATAAATCTAGTTTTGCAGCAATAAAACAGAGGAAAAGAAGAAAAGGAGTAAAAAAAAGAGAAAATACTGAGAAAATGATATAAAGAGCGAATGAGTAGAATGTAGAGAGAATGAGTAATCTCTGATGCAGAGAATACTAATTTAACAGCCTAAAAAAACATATTTGCATAATCTATGAAAAATACCTACTAAAGTGATGCTTGAATGCCAGCCAATTTTATATTCATATCAAGAATAATAATTAATAAAGTAATTTACCTTCATATTCTGGGAGATACATTTAACATGCTATTTTAATTTGAGACAAAAACTGTTAATTATTTTTAGGAAAAAAGAGAAAATTGTATTGTTACAATTAAAAACTTTAGAAACTAGCAGTATTAATTTAATAATAAAAAACAAAAAAATATACTTTTTAAAATTTTACTTTAAATAGATGTGGATGTTTTTTGCTATTTCTGCAGAGAATTTTTGTAAAAATCTGTGGATTTCTGCTGAATTATTTTGGGAGTATCATAACTAAATTCTTAATATGTAAAATGCAAAATAATATCTTTTTAACTTGTAATTAATGCTTAAAATGCAAATCCAATTAGATTCACTTTACTTGGTAAACAAAACAAGTCTCTCATATATTGTATATACTAAAAGACAATACATTTTACTGTACAAACTGCACTGTCCATAAATCAGATCAAAATTTTCACATTAGTCAATAATATTATTGTAATTAATAAAAAAATTAATAAATATAGATTTACACACATTTACTTAAGTAAATAAACAGAATTAATGATGGGCTAAAAATCTGCGCACGTAGATTCTGTGTGGGCCTAGATATAACTGAAAAATTTAAATAATTAAACAAGCAAACAAACAAATAAATAAATAAATAAACACAATAGTTGGCATTTCAATCCGAACCGAGATAAATAAAGGGACTAAGTCGAAGGAAAATTAACAAATGAATGAATAAATAAATAAACAATGATGCTTTTTTATTTATTTATTCTGTATTTAGTGGAGTTTTGTTGTTGATGTTCTTTACTTTAATAAACAAATTCAGCCTTATCGAGCTTTCAATTATCGAGCTTTCAAAACATTTTAACAACACTAATCTTTCCGATATGTATAAAGACACATGATAGCAGTTGGATAACACTCTGGACTATTCATAAACCATTCATACAACAATTAGATCTGTTATAAACAAAAGAAAAAATATTTTAGAATATAATAAATAATATTATTTTTCAAAAGGTAAGCTATTCTATAATGACCTTTTATTTATTCTTTGATTCATTTCTTATCTTTTCGACCTAGTCACTTTATTAATCTGGGGTCGCCACAGCGGAATGAACCGGCAACTTATCCAGCACATGATTTACGCAGCGGATGCCCTTCCAGCTGCAACCCACCACTGGGAAAAATCCATACACACCAATTCACACACATACATTATGGACAATTCAGCCTACCCAATTTACCTATCCCACGTTTTTTTGGACTGGAGCACCCGGAAGAAACCCACGCGGACATGGGGGGGAACATGCAAACTCCACAAAGAAATGCCAACTGACTCAGCCGAGACTTGAACCAGGGATCTTCTTGCTGTGAAGCGATTGTGCTACCCACTGCAACACCGTGATGCCCTAATAACTTTTTACTTTTATTAGTTTTTTTATTTCATTAAAGGATAATTGAAAATATGTAACTCTGCCTCTTAGCTGCATTTTTCAATGGTACAACATGGGTTTATTAAAAAAAACAATGTCATGTAAAAATTTACAGAATGACTTTAAAAGCATGTTGCTTATCATATCTAAACATCTCCCAAATGCAGTACACTAAACCCTTAACCTAACTAATAATAGGATAAAATAGGTCTTGCAAAAGCAGCCATGTCTTTTTTGTCTTGATTTGTATGTAGACGTGAGCTCTATAAGCCCTTGTAATCAATCTGGCCCAATATTATTGATATTTAAATGGCATATGGATACTGCAGTAAAATATGTATATGTATGTGTGTATTATTTTTAACAACTGTGCAAAATAAGGGCATAGTCACATACTGTACACTGTAAAAAATACTGGGTTCCACACAATTGTCCTAACACCAACCGATTTAGGTTAACTGTTTTTACAAATTTAAGCAGATTGAAACGTGTCCCAAAAAAATCTCAAGAATTGTGATGTGTCAGCTCATTTTAAATGGGTTGTTTCACCAAGCAGCAACTATAATTTTTAAGTGTATTTCCTACTAGTTTGATTTGGTTCTTTAAAAAAAAATCTCACACAGGCAAGAGCGCTGCTTTGAATTTTTGACAGTGCTTCAGATATAAAATATTGACATAAAGTTTAAATTCACCATCCAATTTTACAGTAAACAATCAAACACCTGGATATTTATTGCAGCAATTAATATATTTTAGGCTTGCTATATGTTTGGCAACATTTCATATAACCCTAATTGATATAGTGTGTAGTTTCTTACACATACTGAAAGACATGCTTGAATTCTGGAAAGACAATACCGATGTTATTTGGGCTCAAATTATTGCAGAATGTGCAGTTGCTTCATAGTAGGCTAACTAGGTACTGTATACTGTAGTTTACAAAGTGGTTTTTACCCAGGGTCAAAAACAGTACTGGCCATTTTGGAGATCATCTTTAGCTTTGATTATGCCATTGTTTCAACATTACAAAGTTTATTTCCATTAAAAGCTGCATTATTTTTTGACAGACATCTTGTATGTGACCCTGAGGATTTTGCCATCTATTGCAGCTCATCACAAAGACATTCAATTGGTTTCGGCTCATTTGGTGGTCAATTCATTTGTCAAAATAAAGCCTTCAGTCACAGCTTGAGTCTGATAAATCTTGGCATCAGCTTCCTGGAAATATGATCTTAGGATACGTCTTTGGATGTGGTTGTTTAAGACAGAAACATCTACACACTGCATCATTTACGCTAATAAGGATGGTTGCCAAATAAATAACACGCTAGAAGCATATTAATCACTGCAGTAAACATCCAATCATAGACTCAATTAAATGGATAATTCACCCTAAACTGAACATTTAGTCACTATTTACTCAGACTCAAGCAGTTCCAAACCTTATGAGTTTCTTAATGGTGAACGGAAATGATGATATCAAGCTCGCCAATGGTAACTACCAACTTCCATAATAGAAAAAACAAATACAATGTAAGTCAATGGTTACTCATTTTTAGCCTTTTTCATAATATCATATTTTGTGTTTAACAGAAGAAAGAAACTCAAACAGGTGTTACGTTCCAGATATGTTTTGTGTTTGTTTTCTGTTTCGCTTTTTCTTCAGTTTTTCGTTGTGTACTCTCAAAGACTATAGATAAACAAGACATGTCACTCGTATCTTTTTGAGTGGGGAAAAGTGTAACGGTCAATATGGTGAATAAAGCCCCGCCTAGTAAAGGAGCCAATCATTGGTCGCTATAGACTGATGATACTCCGGGGGAGGGCCCAGGCGTGAGTTTCTGCAGATTTTGTGATTTGGATGTTTAGAAATGAAACTACAGATGTTTAATATTATTGGTAATTCCTAATATGAAATTTAATCTTAAGCTTGGCAAGCAGTTTGAATAATTTGACGGTTCCCAACTCAGACAGAATGCCTGAGCATACTGCCCGAGAGGTCTTTCAAAGATGGCCGCCAAGTGAAATGACTTAAAGGGATTGGTTGAGAAGGCTGTCAATCACCATTATGACGCAACTCAGCGCACCAATCAGGAGCTGGTCTGTCGCATTTAAAAGGTGTTAGCTTTTGCTTTCCTGCCTGGTTCTACACCAAACTCCTCACTTGTGGCGACCAGCCTGTTCATTTGTGTTCTTATTATTTTGATTGTTGTTTAGTTTGTTTCTTGTTTAAGTGCTTTATTGTTTAGATAAGTTTGAGCAGCTCAATTTACTCAATTACTCAATTATTAGAAAGTCGAATGATTTTTATGAGAATTGGATTTTCAGAAAAGCTTTTGTTTTGCTAATTGCTAACAGTGTGTACTTTACAAGAACTCCAGTAATTTGGAGTAGAATAGTATTTAGTTTTAGTTAATGGAGGATTTGCCACACTTGTAATTATGGCAAGCCATTTTGAAATTTCATCTATAACCCGTACTAGTATCTATTTTCATGTTACTAGTGCTTATTTTTTAGATACTAGTATCTTTTCCATGAAGTGCTAGTGCCTATTCATTAGATTCTAGTGCCTATTATTTAGATACTAGTGCTTTATAAAAACATACTAGTGCTTATTCATCAGACACTGTTTCTTTTTATTAGATACTACTACTCATTCATTAGATACTATTCATTAATTCAATCATTTTCTTTTTGGCTTAGTCCCTTTATTAATCAGGGGTCACCACAGTGGAATAAACCGCCAACTTATCCAGCATGGTTTTATGCAGCGGATGCCCTTCCAGCTGCAACCAGTCACTGGGAAACACTCATTCACACTCATACACTATTGACGATTTAGCTTACCCAATTCACTTGTACTGCATGTCTTTGGACTTGTGGGGTAAACCAGAGCACCCGGAGGAAACCCATGCAAACATGAGGAGAACATGCAAACTGACCAAGCTGACCAGAAATGCCAAATGACCAAGCTGAGGCTCGAACCAGCGACCTTCTTGCTGTAAGGCGACAGCACTACCTACTGCGCCACCGCGTCGCCTCATCATATACTACCAATTAAATAAATTCTAGTACTTATGTGTTAGATACTAGTACGTGTTCATTAGATAGTAGTATCTATTTAAAAGATACTAGTACTTATTAAATAGATACTAGTTCTTTGTATATGTATACAAAGTGACTATATACCTTACTAGTACGTATTTTTATAGTGACTAGTAACTATTCTGTTGTTACTAGTAACAAATGTAATTTCTTTCTATTGATTTCTATGGGATCTGTCATTGAGATATCAACTATTCAGTTTTGACTAGTATGTATTCCTGCTGGGACTGGTACATATTTTATGTACAAGTTAATCCTTAGGCACTAGTACTTATAAATTAGATACTAGTATTTAATAAGAGATAATAGTACTTAAATATTAGATACTAGTACTCATTCATTAGGTCCTAGTACTTGTTAATTAGATACTAGAGTCTATTTTATAGGTACTAGTCCTTATTAAATAGATACTGGTACCAATTCATTAGATACTAGTAGTAACTATTTCGTATATACTAGTTGTTATCCATTAGTACTAGTATTTATTTATTTATTATACACTATTATCGTTTATAACTATTACTAGTAGCAATTCTTATTTTACTAGTCAGTTCTACTTTTTTACTCGTCTTATGTTATGACTAGTCCAAATGGAAGAGTAGAATTCGATTTAACATTTCAAACAAGTAATTGTATTTAATAAATGCAGTATGTTTTAAATAAGCTGCAGTATCTATTTCATAAGTACTAGTTTCTATTTAATAAGTACTTGTATCTAAATAATAAACACTAGTGTCTATTAAATGTATCCAACACGTAACACAGACTTGTAACATGTAAAGTGTGAGTAAATGATGACAGAATTTTTGTTTTGGGTGAACTATCCCTTTAAATCCATTTATTGATTATTTAAGAAGTAAACTATTTAACTACACGAGATTGCATTGGTACACTGAGTTTTTTTTTAGTTATTAAACTATTCCATAAAGATTAAATTTGTCTAATTTTTTTGACATTTATTTCCTGAGCAATTACAATACATGTTGTCCCAACACAAATCACTTAAGTAAACATAATTGTTTTTACAAATGTTGTCCAAATAAATCTTAAATTGTTATTTTAAATGCATTTTTTGAGTCCATGTTGAATCATCAGGAAACCAAAAAATAAGTCCTTACATTCAGATTATTTTAGCTTGCTGTGTAAAAGCGCAGTACCTGAGTGACTTGTTACAGCAGAGAGAAGAAAGACAGGCTACAATGTTCTTTCTTATACAATAAGCATACAGAGTACCATACCATGTTACATACTAAAGCTTTAAATAAAGATTGATCTAGTGTATATGTAATGCCACTGTGAAAGAGCTATTACTGCAATACCTCACAACACAGGCTATTTCTTACAGTCTAAAAAGAAATAGCAGAGTCTGCCAAACAGATTATCTCCTGACCTCTTTCTGTTGCCTCTCCAGTTCCTTCATACGGATTTCTCGAGCTTCTGCCCGGGCTGCCCGTTTAGCTGCCAATCTTGCCTCCGCCTGGAAGAGAGTCAAAAATGGAGATTCAGAAGCTGTCAAATACAGAAAAAAAATCAGTATCCATCCACTGTTACCATAAATATCGACTATTTACCAGCGCTAGTGAGAACGTCAAGACGGTATGACGGAGGGAATCCGTTTCTGCTTAAGCTCTATGCAAAGTAAAAGCTAAATCTGAAGTTGGGAAGAGTTTCTTGGAGTGTAATTGAATTAAGCTTTTCGCAGACTTTCAATGATCATAGGTTTAATCTCATCATTGACTTTACCTGCCGAAATAAGCGCTAATTATGTTTGATTAAGGACCATTGAAAATGATGATTCTCGCTGTTGAGAAAATCAGGGCAGTTTAAGGAAAATGTAATCAACTTTTATGTGACCAAAAAAGTGTCATTACTATGTATTATATTATTTGAAATGCAGGTTTTCAGATGAAGAATGAATGAGCACATGCTTTAGAATTTAAAATAATACGAATATATAAATAAATAAATAAAAAAATTAAATAAATAAATAAATAAATAGTTAAATAAATAGTTAAACAAATAATTTATAAAAAATAAATAAATAAATAAACATGAAAGTGTTTTCTGCAGTAAATAAATAAATAAATAAATAAATAAATAAATAAATAAATAAATAAATAAACAACCCACACTAGACAATTAATTTTAAGTGACTTTAAATGTGACATTTGTATGATTTGTAAAAGGTGAGCTACTCAATATAAACTTTTACTCTCAAAAATTAAGAAAGAATAATTTCAATACAGGGTAATTGGAAAAATTTTAGTCCGCTTACTGTTTTAGAGCAGTAAGATTTTTTTTAGTTTTTAGCTCATCATGCCTGCATTTATTTGCATATAGTACATCAAAACTATAAGAATACTATTCAAAATAACTTTAAATAATATCTGAAAATTCTATTTATTTCTGAATTAGCATTATTGCTATTGATGAATTGTTTGGCTTGTCTCATTAGCTAAGTATCTGCATTTGAAAAGGTGTGAACCGAATGGCCTACAGAAACTCATGGGTTGGACCCAACCAAAAGAATTGTGTTCCTCAGGAAGTTCCAGTAGAGCAATCTGATACATTGGCAAGTCACCTAACTACGGTTAAGCCAAATGATAAAACAATATTGATCTTTTGTAAATCATACTAATATTCAGATTTTCTGTTAAATAATTACATAATAATAATGATAATAATAATAATAATAATAATAATAATAAAGTATTATTATTATTATTCATTCATTTTTTGTCGGCTTTGTCCCTTTATTAATCCTGGGTCGCCACTGCGGAATGAACCGCCAACTTATCCAGCAAGTTTGGATAAGCGGATGCCCTTCCAGCCACAACCCATCACTGGGAAACATCCACACACACATTCACACACACACTCATACACTACGGACAATTTAGCCTACCCAATTCACCTGTACCGCATGTCTTTGGACTGTGGGGGAAACCGGAGCACCCGGAGGAAACCCACGTGAAGGCAGGGAGAACATGCAAACTCCACACGGAAACGCCAACTGAGCCGAGGTTTGAGCCAGCGACCTACTTGCTGTGAGGCGACAGCACTACCAACTGCGCCACTGCCTTGCCCATTATTATTATTATTATTATTATTATTATTATTATTATTATTATTATTATTATTATTATCAACAGTTCAGTACATTTTTCACAATTTTTAATGGCTAAAGTGAGACAAAGATCAGAGTTTACTAAAATTAAAATTATTTGTAGCTTCATACACTTTACCATTCAAAAGCTTGTATCAATCAGTACAATGTTTTGTAAAGATATTATAAAAATGTATACTTTTATTTAGCAAGGATGTTTGAAGTTGATCAAAAGTAACAAAAATAGAATCATTTATAAGTTCAGACAAGATTTGTTGTTAAGATTGCTGTTCTGTTCTTCATCAAAGACAGCAGAAAAAAACTCTACTCAAGTTTTTAACAATAATAATAATAATAATATAAAATGTTTTTTGAGTAGGAAGTCAGGATATTACAATGATTTCTGAATGTGATTTTTTTTTCTGACAATGATTTCTGCATGTTACTGGATTAAACATCTTTGCAATCACAGGAATAAATTACACTTAAAAATTTTCAAATGGAAACAGTCAAATATAAACAGAAATAGTTGTTTTATATAGTAAAATACTCTATTTCAGAGTACTGGTGGTTTTTCTGTACTTTGGATCAACCAAGTGCAGAATTGGTGAGCAAAAGATACTTCTTTAAAAAAATACATATCTCTTTGCTTTAAAATGTTTACATCGATTAAGCAGCAATTATTCTGCTAGGATTTTGCTTTCCAACGTTGACCGGAAATGGCAGTTTAGAGGCAGTGAGTGAGCTATTCCTTCCTGGCACAATGTGTGTATGAGTGTGTCTCAAGCTGGTATACTTAATACACTTCATTATTCCATCATTTGGCATTAAATTATACCAACTATATTTAATCTTGATAAATATCTTCATTAATCATCATTTCCAATTCCTTACACCTGAATAAGCACTGTTATTATGTATGAATCAGTGCCATGTTCACTTCAAACAATCTTTCATCCAAACAGAGCAGACACTGTTCTCATAATAACGATGTGCTGAAAAATAACTCTAACAAAATATCTGCCAACAAATCCTACATTTGACTAGTATAAGAACATCTGTGGATTACAAAAACAGTTAATCGTTAATACAAAAATGGAATATAAGAAAGATAGCATAACTCTCCCATATTTTGCATTCAAAGATCTATATGTTCAATTCCATAAAAACATGTCAAATAATAAATTAGTTTGAAATTTCATTTTAATTTTTGAATGCAATATGCTTTGAAAGATTTTTTTTCGAAGTACCTTTTATATTTCAATATTTCTCTGCAAGCCACAGATCCTAATGTTGATTTTGCTATGGCGACTAAGTGATAATGGCATCAGCATACTGGTGAAAAACTTGTCAGTGTCTTCGCGATTACACAGGGGGGTGAAGGCTCTGGCAACAAAGTTACTATGGTGGTTACTACTAATAATTGGGGGAAGCACATTTATTTTAAACTATTTTAACTATTCAAAACTGATTCGAACTACTTTTATTACCTACTGCATTACATAATTTTATTGCAAAACTTCCAGTCAATCACAATTAAGTATTTCAACAGACGATGGAATATTGGTATGAGTTTCAAAAGTTATTTATTAATTGTTATTATCATTGTACACTTTACTCATTCATTTTCCTACAGCTTAGTCCCTTTATTCATCTGGGGTTGCCACAGCAGAATGAACCGCCAACTTATCCAGCATATGTTTTTACAGCGTATGCCCTTAAAGTTGCAACCCAGTACTGGGAAACCTTCATGCACGCTCATTCACCATAGCCAATTTAGCTTATTCAATTCACCTATACAATTCACCAACGCCTTTATAGTCTTTGGACTGTGGGTTAAACCAGAGCACTCAGAGGGAACACACACTAAGACAGAGAAAACATACAAACTCCTCACAGAAGTGCTAATTGACCCAGCTGGGACTCGAACCAGCAACCTTGCTATGAGATGACTAACCACTAAACACTGAGAAACTGTGTTGCCCCTTATACTTTACTAAAAAACAATATTTTTTTGTTAATGGCAACTCTTTAAATAAAAGAAATGCTAAACTCAATAGGCACTAGTACTATATACATTTATATTGTTGCTCAGAATGCTAAAGAATACATTGGATACTATGTTGAATGGCCATTGATTAATCTTTATTAAATTCTCTTTTTTTTCTTTTTTTTTTTTACAATTACAATATACAATTACTTACATTCCTTAAATTATTCAAACATGTATAAATACCACATAGCTGACCTTAAACCACAAAACCTTAAGGGTTTGTTTCGGAAATCTAGATTTATACTTCATCTGAAAGTTGAATACATTTTGGGATAGGACAATATTTAACTGAGATACAACGTTAAAACTTTGAAAATATTGAAGGGTTCTAAATATTAGGAACTTAGTGGAAGATGATCTTTACTTAATATTCTAATGATTTATTATAAATAATAACAATCAATCACTTAAACTCATACAATGTATTTTTTTTCCCCATATTTATATATCTGCAACATAAGACTTTTTGGTTAAACTTTTGGTATTAATGCTCTTTGTATTTGATTTTGTGTGTGATGGTGTAATCAGTTCATTGACGTTCATTGATTATATAAATAATATTTATATATATTGTAAATAAAAAAATAAAAATTAAATATATATATATATATATATATATATATATATATATATATATATATATTATTTTTTTTTTCGATAGTCTAAAGAACAAACCATCCATCATTATAAAATAACGTGGCAAATTACCTTAACCTGCACAGTTAACCTAATTAACCTAGTTAAGCCTTTAAATGTCACTTTAAGCTGTATAGAAGTGTCTTGAAAAATATCTAGTCAATTAATATTCACTGTCATCACGGCAAAAATTAAATAAATTAGTTTTTAGAAATGAGTTATCAAAACATGTTTAGAAATGTGTTGAAAAAACTTCTTTCCGTTAAAAAGAAATTTGGGAAAAAATAAACAGGGGGCTAATAATTCTTCAACTGTATATATATATATATATATATATATATATATATACAGGGCTGTTTAATCCTGGTTTTATAGGGCTTGGAGCACTAAATAAATAAATAAAAAGAGAAGAAAAAAAAAAACGAAACACTAAGAAAGAATGTATATTTGTGTGTAACTGTGTAAAATTACTTAACCCAAATTGAATTTGACACTCGTGTTGTTTGTAGTTTTTGCACATCTATTCAGACATAACCTTCAAGATATTAGTCAAAATAACAAGCTCGCCAGGTGACATGAACAGACAGTTAGAAAGCCGTTCTGGTTCTTTTGTCTGAACAAGTCACAGCCCATTGAATAAGGGGCTTCAGACAAGCGTCTGTCCTAAATCCTGCCAACCATG